TATCCACGCAAACTATATACGTGATGATAAGTGATAGAAAGTGAGTTAAAATATATGGTGACGTTGCATGAATTAAGACGCATTGTGACTAGAATATTGTATGTCTAAATATTATACAAGAAGACTGAGGACGGTAATATAACCATTATTCACAGATTTAAATGGGAAACTAACTGGCAATACTAAGTTTTAACTATGTGAAGGCTCAATGTACAATTATGGCTCTATTTCACCAGCAAACTAAGTCATGCCACCTGACGCTGTAATGAAATGCTATCTTCTATATCTTATCCGCTTCGTATCGCAGATGTTGTATGCGACTTCCGGTAATGGACATGTGCAATTAACGTCTTCCGTACACGCCATACTTGTCAGTGTACATAACAATAAAGCATTACATTATACATATTTTGTGTTATTTGGAAATGTTTCATCTGGATATGCCAAAAAACTAGGTGCAAAATTAGTGACTTCAAGGAGGCCAGAGGCTATATGCTCACAGCCGTGATTTTTCATTTCAGCAACGATCATGTCTTCACCTATGTCAGAAGAGCACGATCTCGAACGATGCCTCGACAACTGTTTGCAATTTATTAAATCAAATATTTGTGCATTCAAACAGATTCTATATTGCTAAGATCAAACAAGACATTCGTTAAAACCCAAATACGTGGACACAGAAATGTATGCACAGGGCTTGGCATGACCAGCCAATTGATAGAACCGGGCTCCTTTTGTTGAGCAAAAGGGCCACGGTTTCTGATTCCAATGCCCTCAAACACCACTCCCTGCCTCCAACGACAAAGGGACGCAACCCACGGTGAAAGGGAAGCCCAATCCAAACATATTGATCCCAAGTGCCTGTGAACGCTGCAGGTTTAGACTTGTTGATCCAGTTTTTGTTTGTCTGCTGTACATAAAAAGACACAATGGCGTCTTTTGGGTTACGGTCTATGTGGATGACGTGACATTTCCGCTGCCACACCTCCTCCGGCATCTGTCTGGTGTTAGAATGAAGTGAGTGAAGATTCAATGTAATATTAGCAGTATATTAATCGGATGTAATCGAGCGCGCGTTGGTGGCTTTAGAGCTTTTTTTCTCTACAGTATCAAATCAATAAACCCTAAACAAAGGTTCACACACAGAGTTGATATAATTCTGCATGTAAAACCTATTGGGATACCTCAGTTCCTTGTAAACGAGACATGTCAGCTGACGTGCTTTCAACGAAGTCACCGAAGTCCACTGTATTGTTTCCAAGGCTAATTCTAACTCCAACAGTTGCAGTGTATGAGTTGCGAGCAAACAGACCGCGACTACACATTCATGAGATAATACAGTGACATGTGTCACAGTGGTGTGGTAGTACATATCCCACGGAAGAAGGGAAGCAGAAGGTGCGTTGCGTGGAGGTTGCGTGGACGTTGCTTGGAAGGAAGTAACAAACCTCCCGGCTACTATGTGGCTGTGTTGTGTCTGTAAAACCATGGAGCATATGTTAAATTATAGATTAGTTTGGTATTTGGGAGCCAATAATCTAATTACACATAGTACAATCGACCATTTGGTACGATTAGAATCCGTTGTTAAAAATGCAAAATGTAGTGCAAGTCGTTTTCCATCTTGAGAAAGCCTATGATACTATGTGGAAGCATGGTATTCTATAGGAGTTTCATAATTTTGTTGTGAGAGCCCCTTTGCCTCATTTAATATCACACTTTTTAAACAGACAGGCAATTTCAAGTCCGAGTACGTAGGTTCACCCCTGTCTGACCATTACAATCAGGATCAGGGTGTTCCACAAGGCAGTATTTTGTCTGTATATTTAGTATCAAGATAAACAGTCTGTCGAAAGTTTGATGGATCAGTATTTGTGGGGGATGTTAACATTTCTTGTCGCGGCAAAAAAATGCACACCATTGAAAGACAAATGAAATTGTGTTTCAATACAATTCACAAATGGTCGCTTGTTAACGGCTTCAAATTTTCTAAAACTAAAACTACTGGCATACATTTCTGATTGTTTCTTTGTTTGTTTGTTGTTTAACGCCGCACTCAGCAATATTCCAGCTATATGACGGCGGTCTATAAATAATCGAGTCTGGAACAAACAATCCAGTGATTGACATCAGAAGCATCGACCCACGCAATTGGGATAAGATGACAGGCATCAACCAAGTCAGCGAGCCTGATCACCCGATCCCGTTAATCGCCTCTTACGACAAGCATGGTCGCCTTTTACGGCAAGCATGGGTTGCTGAAGACCTATGCTACCGCAGATCGTCACGGGTGGTTTACACTTCTGCAGAAAATATGGACAGCACAAAGACCCAGAACTATTTTTAACTCGCACACTCATCCAAGATGTTGAGGTCGACTTATTTCGACCGCCACCTGACATTTTTGCCAAATATAAAAATCTCAAGGCAAAGTGCCTGAAAGAAATTGACTTGCTGAAAGTCGCATCACACTTTTAGTGGGGTGGGGATCAGACAACCCTTGTCTGTTTCTACAGTTTCATTGATCCGCTCTAAATTGGATTACGGTTCCATCGTCTATACCGGAGCCTGTAAAATAACCTCCTGAAACTAGATACAATTCATCATCAGGGCTTGAGGATATATCTTGGAGCTTTGAGGACCTCTCCTGTTGATAGTCTATATGTAGAGGCTGATGAGCCTTCTTCACAACAACGTCTTTTATTAGTTACATATTCATGTTTGCATTGCTAGTAACGCTGATGCTGCAGCTAACTTGGTTGATGCATGTCATCGATCCCAATTGCGTGGATCGATGTTCATGATGTAAATCACTGGATTTTCTGGTCCAGACCCGACTATTTACAGACTGCCGTCATATAGCTTGAATATTCCTGAGTGCGGCGTAAAACACCAAACTGATCTGCACATGTAAAATGTTGTTTATTGTATATTTTGTAAGACTAGTACTCCTTTACCTTGTAGGTTTGTATAGTCATGTATGTTGTGGTTGCATATCATGTGAAGAACCCCCCCCCACCACCACCACAACCCAAAAAAAGAAAGAAAAGAAAACGAAAAACAAACACACAAAAAAACACACATAAAACAACAACAGCCCAAAACCCAAACAAGAGCTTTTAATGTATTCATTGTATACACCAACTAAACCACAAGCCTTACTGTTTTTCAATTCACGGACGACTAACATGATTTGTTCGCCGATATCTGGAAATTCAGTGAACTGAAACATTTCTCTGTTCACTCTCAGCCCGAGGAGGCTCTTTAAAAAAATGATATATTTTTTCTGGTCTGATCTTATCGTGTGCTGTGTACGTTTTATCAAATGACAAGTGTCCCGCAGCTGTACATTTGAGTACATTTGTCATGGTGGCATTTGAAAGCACTCATACTATGCAGCATTACTATACTTTTTACATCCAGATAGGTACATTTGTTTGTTGACTTGATTCGTCATGCTGCCATACCTACCTTTACTCGTACTAGGACATTTGCGTGCTGTGTACATTGATGATCAAACCGTGGTTTGTTTGTGTGTAACAGGGTTTATACATTTTGGCAGTACCAAGTATATCCAAATTGATCAAATTTAACATTTGAAACACGCTTATCTATATCGGTAACTGATACTTCACGTTGTAAGGTACATTCTGATGTCAACACCACAGTGAACAGCTGGAAATATCGTATCAATCTTCCAGATTCAGCAATACAATATTCGACAGTACTAGCATCGTTACAAGTCAGATTAGCAATACGTTTATCTTTTTCAATTTTCCCATTTACAATATATAATGATGCAGTTCCTGCTATCTATGCGTGAGGGTGTAAAACCATATCTGTGCGTGATTGTTTGCAAAAATAAATAGTTTAAAAAAATAAACCCAGTCCAGTCGTCAGCAGTTGACACGTCCCAGCTACACGTGAGGACCCAGATTAGGATGGTTCCCAAGTGCTCTATTGCATGCTGTAAGACTAGTTTAGAACGTGGGCTCAGGCCCTTGGGCATGGTTGACTGCGTGTCATCATGTCCCGATGGGTTTGGACGTTGCTCGTATCAACTACTAGTTTGACTCGACCAGAGTCAATTGTTTACATTTTGATTTTCAACGTCACTCACGTGTGCTCCGGGTATAAGGCAGTGACCTTTTATTTACAGGACAAACAACGTCACATCATGTATTTGTTGTTTCACGCATAAGGAAGCAATATTCCAGCTATAGGACGGGGTCCTATAACTATTCGAGTCTTGACTAGACAATCTAATGATTGATATTATGAACAATTGTTCCACGCCGCGGGGATACTATAACATGCTATCAACCAAGTCATCGGGCCTGACTAATCGATATGTTATGTCGCCTCTTACGACAAGCGTAGGTTTGTGGGGACCAATTCTTACCTGGAAACGTCACTGGGGGATACCTGCGTATGGTTGGCGAAAGAGACCATTTTTTATCCATCCATTACAGGTGAGGTGAGGTGAAATGGGGTTTAACGTCGCGTCCAAGATTATTGCACTTATATAACGACGTGCATGTACGTGTGTGTGTTTGTGTGGCTGCTTGTACTAGTCCGGACTGATGCCGATTTATAGTGCTAGCTCACTGAGATACCATGCCGCAGTTTAACATGAATACCCCACTCAGACACAGTACACTGACTCCGAGTCGACTAGTCCTTGTTTTAGCCCCTTAATGCCGAGCGCCAGACAGGGTAACAACAAGAACCATATTTTAACGTCTTTTGGTATGACGCGGCCGGGGATCGAACCCCGGACCTTTCGCTCTCCGGGGGGACGCTCTACCACTAGACCACGGAGGCGGTCCCATCCATTGATAGGAAATACCAAAATACCAAATGAAATACCAAAAGCCTACCTTTGGGTGAAGTCAGGTGAGCACCTGGTATCGTCTATGATTTTCAGTGGTCCATGTATATAATGTTCATGCATTTTGCGCCCAGTGACATGTGTTTTGACACGTTATTCTCCGTTTATATATACGTTATTAAGTCTATGAAAATACAATGGACATTACGAACTACAAGAGACCGGAGAAAGCGGTTCGATAAGTACGTTGTCTCATGTATGTTCCGGTTTTCCCAGTTTCTTCGCGACCAACATAAATGATCCCTTAAGGCCAGTCACAGCTGTGTCAGGAAACTCAGGATACACCTTCTGTTTCCATTCAGTTATGCTGAAACCACACTTCACCCATACAGATTTCACCTGGTCCTCCTTGACCCGTATTAAAGGAAAGGAGTGGTCACCCACAGTGTATAGTTTTTCCCCAATGTTGCCATACAGTATCACATGTCCATCTTCTTTCAGTAATGCCGCAACACGCCCAGCCATGTTCTCGTACTCGGTGATGTCTTCAGCTGCTGCCTCAAGACACAGTGATGAAGTAATAACGTCAAATGTAGGCATAATGTTTGGAGCTAGAGGGTCAGCTTGTCTTAAATCAATATGTAATATGCCAGATACCTTTCCTCTCAGTTGGTTTTCTCGTTCATCCCACGACTCTCTGAATAAAGATCGATCGAGTTAACCGCTGCAATAATATCTTAGATTATGCCAACTTTAAATATTAATATATCAGCAAAAAACAATTAAAGTGTCACAATCCTCACAGGTAACGAACATCTTCTTTTGGTGATGCTAAGTCAGGATATACATCTGAAGAAATAAGTATAATCATGCTATTCGATAGCTTACCCTCTCCCTTGAAATACATAGAAGCAATAGCTGTGGATGTATTTTGTTCAGAAAGTGCTTTTTAATTAAATGTAATATTTCTGTAAATGACCCCATTATATTCTTCACGAAGCAAATAAAATGTCCTTACCCTTTCCCTTCGCTATTGACGACAAATCGAAAAAAGCTCTCAAAACTGTGTTGTAGGTCTCCCTGTAGCCACTGTTTGAGAGCCGCTCTGTTCTTTGGGGTAAAGTCAGTGAGGTAGATTTCGTCACAGTGAGGGGAAGCGCTGATGACGGAATGGACAGACGGCCCAGTACCGATGTCCAGTAGCCTTCGTCCTTTTATCTTACCTGAAAGAAGTTTTAAAATAGTGCATGTGCGAAACGTTTCATATCCTACATGTTTATTATAACAAGTTAATATACAACGTGATAGGTAAAGTCTGCCACGAGTGAACACATTGTTATCTCCATTAGGCCAGTCACAGTAGCAACGCGTGTTCGTATTATGAATGTCTTAGCTGAAGACAAACAACTGATGCAATAGAAGATACCTGTCACCTGAGTTACTGAAACTAGATGCTGAAACTATCAAGAATATATGCTGCATTGTCTGCATTGAGTTTGCAAAACAATTATATATAGTATTGTTTTTTAAGGTTACCCTTTTTGTATTTGTTTACAGTGGTAAATGTATCGAAATATGTTTTTTTTCAGGTGATATTTTTAAATTCAACCTTTAATATACCAGTACAAAGTGTCAAAATGACCATTGAAAACTTTGTTGATCATTTGTTTTTTCACACCTAGCAAACAGAGCAAACATAAAGAAGTGGTTATACATAAATAAATGTGTCATATATATTTATGTTCTTCCAGGCTAAATGTCTATCAAAGACAAAATTCGTCTACGTTGTTTTTGAGGTGAAGTGAGGTGAAATGGCGTTTATCGTCGCATCAAAGACCATTGCACTTACATGTAAGTATCTATAAGATAAATCTCCAAGCTAAATATTTGATATTTCTAGATAATTGATGACTCTTCGTTTCACTTTTAAGACTTGGTTCTGTTTGTCCTTTCTTAGATTATAACTGTGTGGACAGCACTTTCATCAACTGGTAATTCATTTACGCATTATTGTATCGGCATTTTGCAATCATGTTTACTTGTAAAAGAGTGAACTCGGAACAGTCTTTATTAATAGTTAATTGTTTTGTTGGAACACAATGGTAGTCATTCTGTCCATAGGTCATTATTCGGTGATTATCTCTCGAGTCTATCCCTGGGTTGAGTGGGGTCAAGATTATTATAAAAAGAGTTTGCCACTAACGTGGCTATATCCCCCGCCCTGTTGCAGAATTTATGACATAATTAAAGCTAAACAAACCATAACCTTTTTTAACCGAGGTGGAACTTGTCAGTGAAATTGTAAAAAAGAAGAGTTTGGAACCTAACTCCATCTTGCTGCCATGGAAACGTAAAAAATAAACATTTCTAAAATTCTAAATAGCAAAAGGCACCAGTTCAGCATGTACCTGACAAACCTGCAAAGTTGAACGGTTTATGAGTTATGCCCCGGAAACGAACCCTACCCTCACAGAACCTAAGTCCATCTTGTTGCCATGGAAACGTTAAAAATTAAAAATTCTAAAATTTCTAAATAGCAAAAGGCACCAGTTCAGCATGTACTTGACAGACCTGCAAAGTGTGATGAAAAAATATTGAACGGTTTCTGAGTTATGCTCCGGAAACGAAACGTGACGGACGGAAGGACGGACGGAATGACGGACGAAGCCCGTTTCTATATCCCCCGCCAACTTTGTTGGGAGGGGGATAAAAAGTATGGCCAAAACGCACGGTAATACGTCTCAAGAAACGAACATTAATGTCACAGGAAATCCTAGCTAAAAGTCTCGAACTAAGTGGTATAATGTGTCAAGTCCTTACCATCAACAAACACTTCGTGCCAAAACTGCATCTTTGTGGTGAGAAAGTCTTGCATGGGATTCCCTTCAATGCCGGAATAAAAGCTCTGGAGATACAGGAGCGGGGAGAAGTGTTGTTTGTAGTCTGCTGTATGATGTCTGTCATCCATGCTGCCTGTTGATTGCACTGGGCCTATCCTAAGCAAGAAAAAATTAAAACAAGTCCAATATTGATATCCTTATACTATATCTCCCATAAGACACTTTAAAGTGTGATTTAAATCTTCCAATAATAAAAACAAACAAAAACAAAACAAAAGTAAACACAGTTTTAGTATAGCTGAACCGGTACAAAGTAATTCTTTGTTGTCGCACTTAGCAATATTCAGCCATATGATGGCGCCCTGTAAAGAGGCGAGTGTTGACCAGATAAACCAGTAAATACAACAAAGCTAAAGAATTCACCGAGCTTGATCATTCGCACAATTTACTCGCCTCGTGTGACAAACAAACTTCGTCTTATTCTGAATCCCAACAGGAGAAGACCTTGGGAAAGATACCATCAACTTTAACAACTGTAAAAAAATAACTTTGGATAAAGAACCGTTTTATACGAAGCCGAATCTGATCTGTACATGAATAGTTTTGTCATTTCAAACAGATACTCTCGTTACACGATGGGCATTATCCTATCCCAGAATATGAAACCACGATTAATTATTCTACTGATTTGTTGAAAATGTTGATGGATATCTCTTGAAGGTGTAAACAAAAACGTTTGTAGATTGAAGTGTAACAATAACTGACATTGCTGTAGGTGTTGAAAATAGAACGACAAGGCTCTGAAGATCACTTGCAGCAATTGAATATAAAGGTAGAAATGTACACATATGAACGAGAATATACATAATTAGACTGAAGGCACCTCGTTATGCGATCAACAGCTTAAAATGTGAACAAAGACAGTTGCCGTCAATATTGATATTTAAATACATTTTTGCATGAATACTGAGGAGTAAAAACGCAGTGGGTAGAGGGTGGTAGCCTGGGTATTCAAGGGTTCCATCTAGACTTGGTATCGGTCCCAACAGTAGTTTATGTCAATTGACCTACCCAGGTCAGACAACGACTGCCAAGCACCGCGTCATGCCCCAACGTGAATTCCGGCACATGCGTTCATCAGCATCCTCTACCACAGCAAAAATCCCAAGATTGTCAAGGACGTTTACATGTCCTCCGATGGCCCTCTCCCACAGCAAAAATCCCAAGATTGTCAAGGACGTTAACATGTCCTCCGATGGCCCTCTCCCACAGCAAAATCCGAAGATTGTCAAGGACGTTTACATGTCCTCCGATGGCCCTCTCCCACAGCAAAAATCCCAAGATTGTCAAGGACGTTTACATGTCCTCCGATGGCCCTCTCCCACAGCAAAAATCCCAAGATTGTCAAGGACGTTTACATGTCCTCCGATGGCCCTCTCCCACAGCAAAAATCCCAAGATTGTCAAGGACGTTTACATGTCCTCCGATGGCCCTCTCCCACAGCAAAAGTCCCAAGATTGTCAAGGACGTTTACATGTCCTCCGATGGCCCTCTAAACACACTGATTTGAACTCGACGGACCATGGTGATGCATGTGGTCGTTGCTGTTCGTAGATTCCAACTATGACACTTTGAGTTCAGGATCAAATGGTATGTTCAATCTTCAGATATCGCTTATGTGGTAACGTATTTCTTACATGTGTGTCTGTGTCACCTATGCATTACATGTTGAGTGTCTTTGTTTGTGAGGAGCGTATACTCAAGTAGTCAAACGACAAAAACATTTCCATAATCATAAGATATTAGAGTCCATGGAAGTATTCCGAGTATATCATGAGCATGTGTTTTAGAGTCACGATCATATAGTTATGATACCAGGCGCAAGTCTATCGTCTAGTTTCATGAAGAAAAGGTGACCGGATTCGAGTTCCTGGAAAAAGCACAACCAAGAATCTAAATCCAATATATTATCACTAAATAACAAAAGACACCTGTTCAACAACTAGTTGATGTATGTTTTGTATAAAAGAGCACCTCATTGCTGGTCAAAGGAGTCGACCAACTTGCATCTGGTGGTCAGGAAATGGGTCACCGCTACCCGAATGCGTCTGGAACCACCAGTTTGTCCAGCTTATTCGTGCCCTTTCTTTCCTTGACCGGCTCAGTGGATTGACACGACTGGCAAGAAGTTTATTTATATCTACGTTTACGTCAATCGTGATTGCACAGGACATTGCTCAAATGAGGGAGCTGTGAAATAGCTTGAGTTTTGCTGTGTTCCTCACACTGTCTAATTGATAGCAAAGACAGGAGGATTTAAACTAATACAGTCGCATGCCATTCCGTGTTAGTTAAAAGCGACAAAACCCTTACCATCGCCACAACAAATCTATGCAAAATAAGAATCGATTGTTCAATTCGATTGTTGTATCACGAGCAGGTGTTTATAAATCACTGTGAAATAGTGATGGTATCAGGTGTTCGCGAAAGGGTAAACGTATCCTGCCCCACCGTCACAAACACATGCAAAGACAAGTCAATTATTCAACCTGTGGATGCCAAGTAAAGGGATCGGTCGACAGACTCGGTGACATTGCTCGTAACATCAATCACTGGTTCGTTGTGTCCATTATTTTCAGGTCGCGATCTTAGAGCTGATTGTTGTGGGAATACACAAGAAACAAATAGCCGCATAACACTCTGGCTACCAACGATAAGTATATTTGTATGTCATTACCTTGTATGATGTGGCACTACGTTCACTTAGCACTGTCGCAGTTGTTAGGAGCACACGTGTATTATCAATCGATGTAGATGCAGCTATGAACGTTATATATAGATAACTGACGGATTATAATTAAATCCTGTTTTTATTGTGATGGCTCATTCTCATTTCATCATAACACAATAATTGTGTTACACACTACATATTCAATTAAAATAATATTCAGCCATCTGCTGCCTACAAAAATATAATGATATAATGGCACACTTTAGTTAGAACAGCTGAACGTATTTTTATGGTTTTGTATCAATTTGAATATAAATTAAACTATTACACATACACTGATCGCTCGACCATATTAATCAAGTGTGGTGTGTAGGAGGTACTGTATCATGCCATAATTGCTGTCTCTTTTCTTTAACATCTGTGCATATGGAAACCAATTTATAATTCATAAACCAGTATCGTCACGCTATGGGTGAACTATTGCCGATGTGACGTAAAGCATTAACTCACTCACTCACTCACTCTTAAACCAGTAGGAAACACTAAATTCGATCACAATGATAGTTGTCCTCCTCAATGATTGATCACGTTCACATGCTTCACTTAACTGTACCTAATGTAACCCAAGGACTGTTTTACCTATTTCAAACTATTCGTTCTTTATATCTAACCCTGGAAAATACATTTTATCCCATACTGATATTCACAGGAGATGTACAGAGTAGCATATTTCTGAAATCTCCATTTGGTTTCGGTTTGTTTCAATTTTGTGTCCATGGACACGGACTACCCCAAAACAAAAACATACAAAAAAAGGAGATGAAGAAACCCAACAACGTAAAACAAAAAACAAACAAACAAAAAACAGTACTTGTAGAAACTGAAGAAATAGGAATTGAAATCCAAAACTGTTGAATGGTCCTGTCTGCCATATAGTTTAGCCTCAGATGCCCTTACTAGCCTATATGCATAAAGTTAATTTGACCTATGCTGTTCCATTATTTATGGAGGCTTATAATCAAATGTAATCACCACAGGGAGGAACAGTATTCCCCAAATTTATTCCTGCTAGGAAATGGACGTGTAGTCAGAGGTTCATATATAAATGGAAGATTACCGTATTGACAAAAAATTGTAAATTGTCTGCAGCTCATAAAAAATGAAACATCTTGCAACAATCTACATTTTGTGGTGGACATTTTTTTTCAACAGATTGGGCGATAATTATTTTATTCAAGAATTTCTGAAACAGTTAATTTTTGGGAAACTGTTACTATTATTAGCAGTGGGCGCTTTCTCCCCTAGAAAACGACTAATAGGCAAATGTGCTGTAAAAATTATTTAATACTTGTCCGATAATTTAAACACATTTTGATTCCTCAAGATGTTTCTATCGATCCTAACCGTGTTTAGGATACAAACGTTTTAGATTCTAAACATGTTCTTAATCTGAACTCCACCTGGTATATTTCGCTCTGAGGTGGTGACAATACTACAACATCAACGCCAAGTTAAAACATATGAGTTCAAATAAGGACATCTCTTCTATCATTGACTCTTGTCTTCTGCTGCATAAAAGGGAAATGGCGCATTATTCAGAGAAACAAAAATTTTAACGGTTCAATATTGCAGCAGATAACAGAACAAAATAGTTTATCCTAATGCCGTTAATTTAATCAAAAGGGTTTTAGGTTCAAGTGATCTACACTCTTCCAAAAAAAAGAAACGCATAGGTGTTTTGAGAATTCCAATTAGATTTTTTTCAAACAATCGTCATAAAGACAATTCTTATGTTTAATTCCCGTTAATCATGTCATGTTTGTTGTGCATTGCGCGCAAACACATCTCAAAATGTTTTTTGTAAACGTTTATCAGCAAAAATGCAAAGGATGCACGGAAATTGCTTTCAGAAAAAGGTTTTAGCACAATGCGCGTGCAAAGTGTTGGAAACAAGAGTAGAGACACCGACTATAAAAGACCGTACAAAATTCATCAGTTCATTACGAATTTTCTCACGTGAACGGAGATCGAAAAATGCCAAGATTAACTGCAGCTGACCGAAATATCGCCATTGGACGTTTGGAAGCAGGGGAGTCCCAGTCTGCCGTTACAAGACACTTCAACGTTCACCAAAGCACCATATCTCGACTATGGGATCGATATACCCGCACCAATTTGACTCAAGATCATCCAAGAAATGGAAGACCAAGAGTGACCACCCCTGCTCAGGATCGGTACATCCGGTTGCATCACCTTCGGAATCTATTTGCTACAGCAACAGACACTGCAGGGCAAGTGCCTGGTATGCGACAAATTTCCGACCAAAACATCAGAAATCGTCTAAGGGAAGTGGGAATTCGAGCGAGAAGACCAAAAGTTGGACCTGTCTTGCGACGTCTACACCGTCAACGACGTTTCCGGTGGTGCAACAGAGTACAGGCATGGGATCTCAGGAACTTGCGACGCGTTTGGTTCAGCGATGAGTCACGTTTTCTTCTTCAACGACGGGATGGAAGACAACGTGTATACCGACGTCGACATGAACGTTGTGCGCCGAACTGCGTTCGACAGGTGGACCGATTTAGTGGAGGGAGCATCATGATGTGGGGAGCCATATCCTACACGGGTAGATCACAGTTAGTGGTTGTCCAGGGCAATCTTACATCAAACCGATACATAGACCAAATTCTGCGTCCTCACCTCCTTCCAACTTTGGACCACCAGAGGGAGCTGTTCCAATATGACAACGCTCAGCCCAACACAACACGTGCAACAGTTAATTTCCGTGTTAATGAGAACATCAATGTCCTTCCATGGCCGTCCAAATCGCCTGATCTCAACCCGATTGAACATTTGAGGGACGAACTTGATCGACGCGTCCGTCAACGTCACCAGCTGCAAGAGGTGGTGTGACCAGGTACTGACCATGACGCCCCCTTGTGGCTACACATGTGCAAAGACTGAACTGAATTAATGCTGACAATGACGACAATGCTTTTATCGATCACTGTGTCTCATTTCATTTGATTGTGTTCACGCATATTCTGTGTAGATACTTTTACATCCGCTTAATAAATATCCTTATTTTTTAACTATGCGTTTCTTTTTTATTGAAGAGTGTATTATGTTTATTTATGTATGTATATTTACAACGAGAGTATTAATAGCGGAAACACGTACCTTTTTCCGCATATTGTCAAGCCAACATAACATACATGCTACGAAGGGTAACATATAAAATCAAAGAGTAAAACTATGAATATTGTCCTGATACGCTGTCATCTTCCTTTGGTAATGGAGGTAACTGACAATAAAAGTCCAGTTTCCATCCTTGCCAAACTAGGCTGAAATTTTGGATGGACTAACGAGTCAATGCATAGTCCACTCAAAATCTACAGTATTGCATCCCAAAGGCCTACTGTGAGTTCATTAATAAACAATCGTTATTTTATTTCCATTGTTCATTATATACTGAACCGCAAAAGAAACGTCACCCCAAGTAACATTGCATGAAAAGTTGTCATTTAAATATCTGGGTAATTTTTGTCAAAGTTTCTCAAATGGAAAAATGAAATTTGATGATAAAAAATAAAGCAGATGACAATTAAACCGATCGGCCAAACGCATCACGGCAACGGCCTTGGTAACCCGATGCACGTGAGTTCCGTGCAAATTGAAATGCACATGCGTTCCTCGAATTCTGGCCCTATAAAATCCACCCAGATCGGATAACATTCATTCGTTATTGAATTGCCACCACATGGCAAGATTGTCAAGAAATCAGCGACACCAAGCCCGTGGACGATCGCAAGCTAGACAAACCGACCGGCAAGTCGCCAATGCATTTTAAGCCCACGTAAGGACCATATACAGGCTCCAGCAACGGTACCAGACCACCAATATTACAGATGACCGACCACGTAGTGGAAGACCAAGGGTCACCACCCGACGTCAGGATCGCCAGATTGTGCGACAGCATCTTCAAGATCGCTTTGTTACTGCTGCGGAAACTGCTCAACAGACCATTGGGACACACCAGCGACACATTAGTGCGGACACCCTGCGTCGACGATTGACGAGCAGACTTCTCCACTGTTACAGGTCACACTGAGGACCCATTCTGACACCACGTCATCTCCGGGACGAGAGAGAGAGAGAGAGAGAGAGAGAGAGAGAGAGAGAGAGAGAGAGAGAGAGAGAGAGAGAGAGAGAGAGAGAGAGAGAGAGTCTGGCGACGCCGTGGGGAACGTTATTCTGATGCCTGTGTTGTTGAGAGAGACTCGTGGGGTGGTCCGAGCATCATGGTGTGGGGTGAAATTGGTCTTGCACAGTGGGTCGGGCCTGTGGTCTTCCAGAACATCGGTCCAGGGAGAGGCAATAGTGTTACAGCAGCTCGGTACATTAATCAAGTCTTGAGACCACATGCCATACCTCAAAGACGGCTGAATGACGACCGACCAAGGCCGACAACTGCAGCTGAACTGCATCAGGCGTTCCTCAGAGTGTGGGCTCAAGTGCCTATGGCCTTCATCAACCGCCTCATCCATTCCATATATCGAAGATGCACGGCAGTCATCAACGCACATGGCGGACACACGAGATACTGACTTGTGATGCCATTTTCTCAGAGACTAGTGTTAAATCAAGCCTTGTTAATCCTATTTATTCTAAAGTGTACATCATCAGGCTTCATATGTGAACATTATATGTTGTGTAAACATCAATCTATCATAATTCGACCTTGTATGAACATCAATTATCTACATGGATATGAATATCCTACTTCACATGTCTGTACATCACTTGCTTGATAACGGTGTCAGTATCTTCATCGAAACGTTCATTATAATAAAGAAGTTGTATATCTATAGAGCAATCTCCCTTGTTCATCACACACACTTCTAAAAGCCACTAAAAGAAGTCAAGACATAATTCATTTGTTTTGTTTAATACTCTGCTGCTTCAAGTCATATCGAATTGTATGTGAATAACGGGTGTACCATGATCTCAATAATACTGTCGAACCCATTCGACAGTCGCATAGTCGAAGGACAT